AGATCGATATCCCCCGGCCACCCTCGGACGCGATTCCAATCGCGCGCAAATTGTCCGTAATCTCGCGGTTCTCCTCTCTGCAAATAACACGTCGCGTCGCTGCGAGTGCGCAACGAGTGAGAGCGCATCCGCACTCTCGTTGTTTAACGGGGTACTCCCGTACTGGTTTTATTCGCGGTGCCGCGAATTGGTGCACGCCGCGCCTTTTGAGGAAACAAGTCGCCGATAGATAGTTACCGCTCTCGTTACGACGCGATCGCATTAAACGCAATCAGGATTTAATTATACATTGTGTGTACGGGCGGATCACGTAGGAGATTCAAGGAAGGAGTACGAACGGGATGGGCTCGCTCCTAAGCAAACGCTAATTGACTCGATGCAATTCGGAACGGATAGGTTGATAACGGAGCTTTATATAATCCTTTTCTTTTCCTCTCACTCTCTTGTACACCTCTCGTTTCGTCATGGAATTTTGCACGTCAAAATTATTAAACTGGTCGATTGTAAAAAAAGACTTGGAACAAAAAGATTTATTAGATATCATTCATTTTTTATGGATCTCTTAATAATTCAGCGCGCGAATGTGAAATTATTCAAAAAATTCCAGAAATTCCTGTTTTTATTCGTAATCTTCCTTTTGTCAAATGTAAGATGAAATTTCTGTTTCTCTCTCTCTTTATTATATTTAAGTATATCGTTTGTGTTGGAATTACGACTTATATAACTTTTCGCGAAATAAGTTTCTTTTTTTAAACTGATATTAATTCGGATTCGTATTGCATTTTTACCGTAAAACCAAATCGAGACAAAAATATTTTGGAACAACACGAGTACCTGTCGTCCGATCGAGTCTGTGATTTCTTTTTCGTGTGCCGAAATATCAATGTTGCCCGGTGTAACGGTGTAACACGAGAGGTTTACGATGCGAATTTTATCGAGTTTGATTTTTTTTTATTTTATCGGCGCGGTCATCAGGTCGCAAATTTTTCGATCGTTTGCCCATCCTGCGGCGTTTTTTAAAGGGAAGAGCCGTTCAAGGCGAGCCACATGCTACCGCAATTAACGGTCCGGTATTTCATATGAGAAACAAGGCGAAACAATCGATATTATTGCATCATGGTTAACATGGCAGCGGCTTGCAAGAATATATTAAATCTCGGGAAAAAGGTGCAGCGAGCGCGAATTACTCTCCCGAATCGAGGCGCAGCTGTTAATGTAAAATAAAAATGTTACTTGTACGCATTTTTTTTATACATATATGGTAATAACATCTGTGTATAATAATAAGAATATTATATATGACGAATCATCTGGATGTTTACTTATAAATATGGTAATGGTATTCAAATTTTTGCCGCGTCACTTCTGTCAGCTGTCATCAGTTATCAGAACTCCTCGGATTTCGGTTCGAATTCTGCCGACATCGCCGAATGTTGAATATCACAGAATGTAATGAATGTCACAAGAGTTTATATGCTTTTTTTGTGGCAAAGTAACACAAAATCGATACAAAATCCGTCGTATTCGACGCGATGTCACTCATAGAATTCCAGTAGAAATCTAAGATCTTCTGATGTGACAGATAACAGCTGACAGAATTTCGTACTAGATATATTTTGTAAAATCCAGCTACATAATTTCGTATGTGTGTGTTGCTGGCTATTAATACAAACACACATAGACACACATATATATATACACATATAAGTAGAAAGGAAATACTAAATACCAGCAATTACGAACGCGCATAACTTATTCATTTTACGCTATTACGTAACGTTAACGCATGGTGATAATTAATGCGATAATTAATCGACCGCAAATCACACGCGGCGTGCAATAAGACACTTTAAACGCTGCAAATCCATCTTGGGAAACTAACACATCGAGATATACAAAAAAAAGCGAACAACTAACCGAACAACTTCATTTGATATATTCTTCGCGTATAACGTTACGTTGTCGGGATGCTAGGTATTCCGTTTCTATTCTATTGCAAAACTAGCATACGGTGTTTCGTTACATCGCATGTTATATAAGTGAAGGTGTATCGACAATAGGGTCAATCCCTTGTGGAGTGATTATTTGCGAAAGATAAGAGCGCTCCTTGAAAATTTTGATACCTCGAGGTGACATTTAAAATTATGCCTTGGGGAGAAAAATCTTTCCTCCAAAATTTGAATTTTAAAATTTTCAAAGTCACGACAAAGAACGTTTTTGGAATTCGTTTGCTAAAAAGTATATAAGTTATTAATATACATATATTTAATATATTAATTAATAACTTATATGTAGTTTAATTTAGGAAATTAAATAAATATTATAAAGCGTAAAATCCGAAACGTCATCTTTTCTATCTCGATTATTAATTAAGTAATATTTGTAATTTTTTGTGAAAAAGGCGATGAAACAAATAATTGAAATTAAGAAAAGAGCGACGATACGAGAAGATATTGCGTGTTCTTTGTACCGTAAATCGTATAATCATTGCGAGCCGCCAGTGGAACAAATTACAATAGAGTAAGCGATATAAGTTTGTAAGATTATAACTGTTTAAGCAATTCTCGGATTTTCTTCATATATTTGTTTGTGGACCAGATGCAAAAAGCCTGTCGATAAATCTGATAGATTTGGCGAACTCACGAAAGCTCAAACATTGGAATCGCGGATCGGAAAGAGAATTTTGACGTGGATTAATCATGAGCCAATTACGTTAGTCGATTGCCGACAAGCAGATTTCACGGAACGCACTAGATCATTTGTCGGACAAGTCAAGTAATCTTCTTTAAATTGCATCGCGCGTTATTCTCGTTGATATACATCTGTTTATTTATATTACACATGCTTAAATGGAAAAAGAAATCGTATAACACAAATTCCGCATATGTCATCATATAAATAAATAAATAAATTATCTTTAATAAAGTCTTTATAAAGTACAAACAGTATATTAATTATTTAACTTGCTTCTCTATATAGATTTATATTTTTTTGTCAATAAAATCTTTTTGTCTATAAAAATGATACGCTAAAATTGTTTAAATGATAAAAATACAAATAACGATTTCTTTTTTCAATAAATAAGAATTTAATTAATGATAAAAACGAACTTGTGATTTGAGGGATCCGAAAACATCGCGTCTTTACGCAGATGTTACACACGGTAAGAAGAATGTCAAAGACAAGTTTGACGCTTCGGATACTTTACGCAATTCCGATTTAAACGAGGAAACTCTTTTCTGGTGGCAATGTCTACGTGATTTAAGCAATTTCCGTCGAAACCTCAAGAAACGTATTCCGGAAGTGCCATTTTTGGATATAGGGGACGAATTGTCTCGTCTGGACCAAGTGCACACATATGTCAATTTATTAATATGTCCATAATATATCTATATATATCTATTTTTTTATTAATAACCGTATATCTTTTTTTTTATATTTTATTAACTATTATTTTACACACAGATTAAATTTGCTTTTTCGATCAATTGAATGTAAATTTCCACGCAAATTAAACATGTATTGATAGTTAATCAAACTAACCAATTGCAAAAATTTAAATTATATATTTTTTTTACAAATACGTAAAATCGTTATGAAATTATGATTCAGAAATATGTCGGAGTTCTACCCGAAAATAAAGTTTTCTCGATCTTCGAGAAATATCGTATATTTCCGAACAAGGAATTTCTCTCACCGTTGATGGATAAGTTACTGCTGCGCGAAGACGGAAATATTAATTACAGGAAATTGCTCAATCTCTTAAATTGGATATGCCATTTGCCCGTTTTGCCAAAGATAAAACGTGAATAAATTACAATAGCGTTTATATTTTTTTTCTCATACATACGCACTTCCTATAAGATCGATCAACTATAAAGTTATGGAAGAGAAATTTTTGTTTTTGAAATAATAATTAATAACAATTTTAATATATAAGTACTTTCAAAATCATATATTCCAATTCTTTAATTTGATTTATAACGACAGAGACAATTAATATTCAAATAAAATATTATTTTAGAAGCATTATTAGCGATTTCAGATTATATTACTACATACGCTGACAGCATAGGAAATGTTCAAGCAACCGGTAGCACGAGCAAGTATTCTTTTTTCATAATTTCACTCATTATGAGAATATCTTGATAAGTTTCTCAGGGGGCAAATAACTACTTGCAATTAAAATTTTTAAAAATATTGTAGAAATTTGCGCAGCTGGACTTCCATCTGTGAGATTGGATTTTGCAATGACAATGTTACCACGCGCTGGCGTATATCCGGTAAGGACAATTTAGGGGACCAAACTTCCATTCGTTGCTCGATATCGCCTAGCATTTTCACGAGATACAGCTTGACAATTATAGATCTTTTTAAGGTAGATTTCTTTTGTCTTACGTCGCAGCCAAAAGTTAATAGCATATTATTGTTGTGTGATGTATATTTTTACATTTAATTAAATTTAGACAATATTAAATTAAAATCGGAGCAAAAAATTTTTTATAAGAAAAGATTTTGTTAATTTGTTATATAGACTCGCGATAAGGAAGAAATGCGAGAAATTTTCCGGGGGATAGTTTCGACGTATTTTGGAAAGAAGGGCAGAAGAAAAATTGCACTGATGGTGTGTGCGTAGAAACATTTCGGGAATTACTCGCCGCGTCAAATTTCGTGACAAAGAAAATTACATGTGGATAAAAATATACAAACTCTTTGTCTTCTGTATAAAAAAAGCAAAAGGTGTTTATGAGTAAAAAAGTAAATAAATATATATGTATACGAAACATATATTCAAACAATTAATATCATACATAATTTATTCCTAACATTATAAAATAAAAAATGACACTCTAAACTAATAATATACGATAGTAATATTTTTATATTGATACTGATATTATATATTTGATATTTTTATATAATATTAATATAATATTATTATAAAAATATAAAATTAGTGCATACTAATATATGAACGCTAATTATAATATAATATAATATAATATATATAAAAATATTTATTTAACATAATGTAATACAAATTCCAACTGACAATTAGTTTATGATATCAAATTTATGTGTGCTAGTGTGTCAACTCCAATATTAGATGAAACTTTAAAGGGATATCATAAATAGTTTATGATGTCAAATTTATGTGCTAATTTCTATGCATTAATTTCTATGCTTATTATTATACAAAACATTTTATTAGTATACATAATTATTGTAATATCTATACAATAAAATTATTTACCAGATCATAGATTCAGTCCACTGGTTTTAGAAATTTTGGTTTCTTTTCCATTGGTTCATCTTTGCAGCCTGTTTTACTATGTTGCGATTTTCTGTAGGCTTTGTTTTGTGGCTTTCTGTGTGTCATAACATCAAACTTTGTTCGCATTTTTTGCCACTGGACAGTCATTTGCTCGTCTGATACATCCACTTCTTCCTTAGTCTCTGTTTGGGCTCGCTTTTCATTTTCTTTTGCTTCCATTAGTTTTTCTATCATCGGGTTCATCCCTTGAAAGCTTAATCTGCCTTCGATGAGTCCCTCACAGAAAATATAGCTCGGTTCCATAAAGAATTTCCCACTTAAACATAAAATATGAGATATTATTAACAATGATACTATCACTATTGATAAAATATTTGAATCTTAATAAAACATTTTAATATTTGCCTATTTTACACAATTTATAATTCCTGACAAAATTTCATTTATAATTATAAAAAATATTTGTAAAGTGAGCTCAAAAGACATCCTGAGATTTATTCGCATTATTATTATTAATTTATACATAAAATACTTCGATACTTGAATTAATAATGAAAAGTATACCTACGATGCTTCTTTCATGCGTGATGTCAGTGAGCTACCAAAGTACTCCTCTCCTTCCTGTTGAAACTGCTGTTTCTCCACTTTGTCCTTCGTTCGTTTCATGAACTGCACAAACAAGGTCATGCATCATCGTACATCAAAACTCTGTTACATCTTTCCTCTCTTTCAACTTACCTTCATTTCCAATATACTTTTTGACAGAGCTAACCTCTTCGATTCCATCTTTGATTTTTATAAAATACGAAGAAGATAAAACAAGCTAAAGATAATTAATTACTCGCGCAGAATTGATTATTTTAATGAAAAAGATATCACGCACGCGCGTACACGTGTGTGACAATAAAGAACACAGAATTTAAAGCAGTGTAAATTAGAAACAAGCACACGATACCCGGCGACTCGACTTCGCTACCATCTTGCCTCGATCGCAGCGCCATCTCGCGGCGAAACGTAGAATCAAGTCGATAAAGACGCTCCCGCGCTTTATCGACTGTCCAATCGCGTCTCACCTTCCGGACAGGAGGTACCGTTTTATGGCGCACACTCGGACCCGGAGACTCTCTCCGATTTCCGTTTCCGTTAGGAAATAAGTTCTTAAACTGGCGGGTCGTATCCGTTCACGGCCTCGCGTCCGCAGAGAGATCCGCAGAAGAAATGCAGAGGTTGAACACGACGAACGAGAGTCTGGCACGTAAGGCGCAGCGCATCGGGGAATGACGTAGCGGCGAGGAAGAGGCCGTGAAGACCCGTCGAAGGTGGACGTCGAGACTGGAAATCGCTCGTACCGAGGTATATCTGCGAGGACGCGCGATCAATAACAACAGCACTTATTCCTTCGCAAAGTCGAAGTTCGAATTATATTTTTTTCTCCCCTAATTTTTCACGTCTTTATTCTCAGAAGAGCCTGATTAGGCGTCTAAGCGATCCGAAAAGAAATTCCATCCTCGACTTCCTTCACTGATCGCCATAACTGCTGGCTCATTAAATAAAGAGGTTAAAAAAAAGAACAGATTATTGCCCTTTATTAGGGTGAAATGTTTATTTCTCGCTTATACTCGAGATCGTATATGTCTGAGGACTTGTATACTGCGTATATTGAATATTAATGTAATGTTTATATGAACTTTTTTTTTTTTTTTTTTTTTTTTGTCATATGGATTTTATATATATAATCTCGAATTCCTGAATATGTATGTTTCTAAATCTCTGTGTAATAATATGTGGTGTTTGTAGTATATGTTGACACTAACTAGCAAAATCAAATTTTTATTGTTAGATAAAATTTTGTAGTATACTCTGAGATTGGGGAAATTGCGTGACATTAATTGCATCGAAAAGAGAAAAATATTTTCCCGTTTCAATGCTTTGAACAAATAAATAATTTTTATTGTATTTATTTATTGCAGACATAAATATCTGCAAAGATGTCGAAACGATCTGCAGATTCCGGGGACACCAGTTCCCAACCAGCTATCAAAAAGGTGCAATTTGAGCCAATTCTGATAGGCCCCATATCTACTCTCGAAGAGATGGATATGAAGGTTTTGCAGTTTCAGAATAAGAAACTTGCACAGGTATAGAAAACCTATCTTAACTTATATTATTTTCATAAAATTAAAATTAATAATTTCTAATTAAACGTGAAGAGAATAGAATGAGAAAATTATAACAAAAAGATGGATATGTAATATATATAATATATTAATTTTTATATATATATATATATATATATATATATATAAAATATATATAATTATATGTTCTCTCTTATACACATACAAATTATATTTAAAATTTATATACAAGATTTAGTTTATATGTCATTTCTATAATTTAGAGATTGGATCAAAGACATCGAATGGAAGCTGAATTGAGGCAACGTATTGAACAATTAGAAAAACGTCAAATGCAAGATGATGCAGTACTTAATGTAGTAAATCGATATTGGAATCAGCTTAATGAGGATATACGAATATTACTGCAGAGATTTGATGCCGAGACTGCTGATGAATCTGAAAACAAAAGTAAAAGAATCTTTAAAGAAATGCAATATAACAGTAATATATTCTGGAGGATAAATTCTTTAAAAGATATTTCTATTTTTCTTATAGATGAAAGTGAAGCTACAACATCGTTTCTTCTGCAACTATCTTCCTGGGATAAAGAAGAGTTAGATGAGAAGCTAGCAAATCGTGTACAAGTGTCGAAGCGAGCGGTATCTAAAGTTGTACAGGCATTTGATCGCATGTCTCAAAGAAATGAAAAGATTACTCTTGCGCTTAAAGGGCAGTTTGACGGTGGTGAGTCTAATATATTGAAATTTCTCTTTTCAATGTCACATCAATGCAAGTCTTGAACAACTTCTAGCTAGATGCATGCGATTTATTTTATATAGTAATATTCTTAAAAATTTCTGAAATTCTGAAAGAACTTTATATTATACATTTGCTGCGAGGAAGATTGTATATTGTAATTGATAAATCATATTTTACAGAAGATGCGCCAAATATTGACGAAGTCGTACGTCACGCTAATGCCCAACTTCAAATGGAAAATAGAAATCTAGAAGTGATAAATCTACAATTACATGAAAGACACCACACTCACACATTAAAGGTATTTTGAGCTTTGTTATATTTATATTCGAATTTTTTATTTTTATTTTGGATCAATCTGGGGAGGAATATTGTTTCTTTTATTATATAGATATACTCATCCATAGGTGTCACAACTGCAAGACGCTCTAATGGGAAAAGATACTCTTGTGGCAGAATTGCGGAATCAAGTGGACGACTTGCAATATGAATTAAACAAAGTGCGAGCGAGGAACGATAAATTAGAACATCATCTTGGCGAAGCAATTGAAAAGTTGAAAGCATTTCAACAAATACACGGCACAGACGACAAGGGCAGCAACAAACCGAATACTTTGGTTGCTTCCAGTGTTTCACAGACTAAAGTAAAATATCTTCATGTATAAAAAAAATTACATGTATAAATTAATTTAATATTATATACAGTACAAAATTATTTCTCTAATATGTATCTCAATATGTATCTCTAATATGTATCTCAATTATACAGGTGGAAGACTTACAAAGAGAACTTGAAGAGACGCGTGAATTAGCTAATAACAGACTACAGGAATTGGATAAATTACATCAACAACATCGTGACACCTTGAAAGAAGTAGAGAAGCTGAAAATGGATGTGAGTAAATAATTTTTTTCTAAATTATACTTATATATCACTGTGATATAACTTTGTGTTAACTTAATGAATTATCTAACAATAAATAGAAATAAAAGCAACATAAAATTTTAATGTTTTAGATAAGACAGCTTCCGGAATCGGTAATTGTCGAAACAACCGAGTACAAATGTTTGCAATCACAATTTTCTGTGTTATATAATGAATCTATGCAATTAAAAACACAATTAGACGATGCCCGTCAACAATTGCAGTCAAGCAAAAATGCACATTTGCGCCACATCGAGATGATGGAGGTAAATTTTTTGCATACTAGAATAATACAAGCGCGTACCGTTCTTTGATTTTATGTTAAAAATATATTTTCAAAAAAATAATATAAAGTTTGTTTTAACTCGATTAATATTCTTTGACAAAAATCAGCTGATAACTATCAAAAATAATGTTAAAAATATTAAAATAGTAATATGTTGTAAATAATATATAATTATAAAATCTTATCCATGATTATCTAAACGATATTTTTATATAGAGCGAAGAGTTGATGGCTCAAAAGAAATTGCGCGGAGAATGTATACAACTCGAAGATGTCTTAGCGCAATTACGCAAGGAGTACGAAATGCTTCGCATTGAGTTTGAACAGAATCTAGCGGCTAATGAGCAAACAGGTCCAATCAATCGAGAAATGCGGCATCTAATTACCTCTCTTCAGAATCATAATCAACAGCTGAAGGGGAAGTGCACCGTTACAAGCGAAAGTACAAGGAAGCTTCTACTGAAATACCTCGAGTATGTATATAATCATAATAGCGTAAATTTTCATTATCTTTGCAAACTTTAACTTCAATAATTTATGCATATGATTATATCAATTTTATCTAAATAATAAAGTTATGCACAATTACTTTCAATTATTGAAAAATAAATAAAAGAAATTTTACATATAAAGAATTATAATAGTATAATATTTAAATAACATAAAAATAAAATTTTATTTTTATTAAATATTTCTAGTTAAAAAGGGAAGTAGAGGAATTGACAGCAAAATTAGGTCAGCAAACAGCTCAAGAAAATAAGGAAGGGAATAATTCAGATGGCAGTGGAAAAGAGGAAGATGCATCAAATTCCTTACCAGGTTCTACACAGGTATAACGATATATAAACCAGAGAAAAAAATTATGTATATAATTGTATACATGTGAAGTCTTTTGGAAATAACAATTTACAATTAATGTATTCAACCATTTTGTTCAATTATGTAAGATAAGATTCCGTTTATACTAATTGCTAATATTTAATTTATATTAATTTGTTTTAATATTTCAATAGATCAAAGAAGAAAGTGGAGTTACTATAAAAAGAGAATCCGGTGCTGACGAAGAGGTAGAAACTATCGAAGTGGGAGAGAATGAGGGTAACAAAGGGACACCAGATTCTCTGACATTAACTTCGCCGACCTTAAAAAGGAAAAAGATATTAAACGCGAGAAAGATATCAAAAAAGAATCTGTAAAAACTGAGCATCGTGATCCCGCACATCGCACCAAAGACGGAAAGATAGCGGAATCAGAGATTGTAAGGGATTTGAAGGCACAACTCAAGTACGTTCGGGAAATATTCAGCATTTTAAAACGAGATACAGATATTTTTATGGCGACAATATATAGTTTCTTGAAATAAAAAAAATTTGATTACAGGAAGGCTGTGAATGAAATGAAAGAAATGAAACTTCTCTTAGATATGTACAAAGGTGTTGGAAAGGAGCAACGAGATAAAGTTCAGTTAATGGCTGCAGAACGTAAGACAAGAGCAGAGTTAGAGGATTTACGACAGCAAGTTAAAAAAATTCAAGTATGTTGTAGCAATTATAATATTTTATGTGATAATCATATAATAACGTAATATAACAGTATAATAAATAAATAAATAAATGAGGGATTACTGATTTTGTATTTGCAAAACATTTGTTTTTGGTTAAGAAAGAATAAGGATCAAATTTTTATTATACAATATTATTGTATTATTTATTACATAGATAACTATTTGTATTGGTTTCACATGTATTTTTTTTTTATTTAAATAATTACAAATTCTTTTTTTTTTGCAGGAAAGTAAACGCGAGGAACGTAAAAAGTTAGCCGATGAAGATGCGCAAATAAAAATTAAAAAATTAGAAGAACAAGCGTACAACTTGCAACGTCAAGTTGCTGGTCAAAAACAGGTAGATCACTCTTCATAGATTTACTATTTCTTTTCTTATGACTTTTGTGATGCAATATATAATAAATGAAAATCTTATAGATCTTAATTAAAGAGCTAAAATTAATTTAAAATATTTGAGAATTATATTGTTTTTATCTTAATTATTTTTGTGTAGTGCAAAAATTTTATATCATCAATTAAAAATCTCTTGTTAATATATTGTACCATAGGCGACAATTTAAGTCACTGTGGCGTGCGCGAACGGAGATGTAACGCTGAACAGAATTGTGTATGGTTGCAGGAGGAGGAAGCGCTTCTAAACGAGATGGAAGTGACCGGACAAGCGTTCGAGGACATGCAGGAACAGAATTCCAGACTGATACAACAGTTACGCGAGAAAGATGATGCGAACTTCAAGCTTATGACGGAGAGGATAAAGAGTAATCAACTGCACAAACTCGCAAGAGAGGAGAAGGATGTGTTGAAGGAACAAGTATCAACACTGACGACGCAAGTGGAAGCGGCCAACGTTGTCGTGCGGAAGTTAGAAGAAAAGGAACGTCTCTTACAAAACTCTCTCGCCACGGTGGAGAAGGAATTGGCTCTGAGACAGCAGGCGATGGAAATGCACAAGCGGAAAGCAATAGAGAGCGCACAATCGGCTGCCGATCTGAAACTTCATCTTGGTAAGACTTTTGCGCAAATGTTGATAAATGCATAGAAATCTAAAATGTTTAACAATATTTGAAATGTTTTAATAATACTTCATGGACATCTTGTAGATCGTTCTTGTTAAATTAGTTGGAGAAATACATAAAGATAAATATTATTGAAACTCTTGCTAGCTATATTTAATTATTTATAACTATATATATATATATAATATTTATAACTATATATATATATATATAATATTAAATAGTATATAAATAATATAGTTATAAATAATTAAATATAGCTAGCAAGAATATATATAATTTATTTCGATTCATATTTTTTGTAAGAAAAAATATTACACAATTTTTCGGTCTTTATGTCAGTTAATATATATAATTGCAATGAAGGAGGGTTTAGGAATCTTGATAAAGTCCAAATACTTGTTTTCACTAAGAATGACATAACACTTACCGTTACAGAAAAGTATCATTCCCAAATGAAGGAGGCGCAACAAGTAGTTGCTGAGAAAACAAGTTCTTTGGAAGCTGAAGCATACAAAACTAAAAGATTACAGGTATAAATTACGATTTAAAATATTACACTAAATATCAAATCTATAATAGTTATATTTTTCTCTTGTATGTTCTGAATTATTTATAATATATCCTCGCGTAAAACATTAATATTATATGCATATGAATTATTGTAGGAAGAGATAGCACAACTTAGACGCAAAGTCGAGCGTATGAAGAAGATAGAACTCGCCGAAACCTTGGACGAAGTGATGGCGGAAGAGTTGCGGGAGTATAAGGAAACATTGACCTGTCCATCTTGCAAGGTGAAACGCAAAGACGCCGTACTCACCAAGTGCTTCCACGTATTTTGTTGGGATTGCTTGCGAACACGTTACGAGACACGACAGCGAAAATGTCCGAAATGCAACTGCGCCTTCGGCGCGAATGACTACCATCGATTGTACCTGTCTACATGAAGAAGAAGGTGCTGATTCTCTGAAAAAAAAGATTTTCATCACCGCGACGTGGAGTAATGTTTTGTAATGTGTACGTACGCATACTTTTGCTTCTTTTTTATACTATATTATATTGTAATCTTTTATTTATTACTCTGACTTTTTTGAAGAAAACACGGCGCGATTACACCTCTAAATACGTCGATACATGATGATAAAAATCAAGAAGTTTACTAAGTTCTTATAAGACCACTGCGAAAAAAAGAATACATAAATCATAAAATTTAAACGAATAACAATCGAGAATTCTTGAGAATAATCGATTTGCTTTATCGCTTAATTTGTGTTATTTGTTTTTAATGTATTGTTTTTTAACGCATTTGTAGTCTTTATATTGTCGACTGACATAGGATGAACTCTACTTGGTGTATTACAAATTGCTATAAATCATTTCATTGATCAATCTAGATAAAAAATCTTTGCTTTTTTTACTCTTAAATTGATAAATCAAATATTTTAGTGATTTGTAATGCCAAATGGGGAGTGCATTCATAAAAATAAAAATAGAAAAAGGATAGAGTAAAAATGTGTCTGTATATGTATGCGTGTATGAATGTAAGAAAGAAAGAAACAATTAGCTTGCATTTTTAGTCGGTCAGCTTAAATATATAAGTTGGGAAGCTTTTAATTTTATAAGTCGATATTATAATATAAAGAATGATTTATACTCTCTATTTATCGTTTTGATCTCGTTTTTCAAGTAAACCCCGCACGAAGTTCAAAATCAATGATTCCCAAAGTGATTACTGTTTCCTGTCTCGAAGAATGTCTTTTTTATAGGTATAAAATAGAGCACCCTTAAACTATGAAACTTATGGAATTGGTGAAAAAATTTGGGAATCACCGATCTATATATATATATATATATATATATATATATAAATCAACAATCGTGTTTGGCCGAAACAATTGTATCGATTGAATCTGATTGATCGATTGATTTGTTATACGTCAATCAGATTCAATTGCTATTCAAAGTTGAATCTACTGAACGCGAGTAATTGTTCGACCTATACTTGTACATTCTGAAGGATAGAGATCGTATCTTTATCATCGTACCATAAAATCGCTTCTATGTATGTATTTTCAATTTTTGAATTGAAAGCGTGAATTGAGAAGTCTCGAAAAAATGATTGAATCCATTTTTTATTACAATTCGGAATCAATTGGCAATTTGTATGATAATCATTACTTGATGAATATTTTTTAATCGGTATGGTTTACACAAAGTTTGTTTTATCTATTGCTCATAATATACGAGACAGGCAAACTGATATATAAACAGTGATGACTTGGACATTATTACTCGATATTATACAATAGTAAAAGGAATTTTGTTGCTAATCGTGGATACTTTAATGGTTTTCATCGAGAATTGCTTATTGGAATTGAACCTAAAATGAAATTAGTAAAATAAAATATAAGATATCTTAAATTTGTATATTTTTATTTAAGAACTGTTTGTATAATAACGCAATTCTATATATTTTTAAAAGGGAAAAATTTATGAAATGTAGTAAGAGAGAGAAAAATACATATATGTATACAATCTCAAATTAAGAAATATATTAATTTAATTGCAAAAGATATCAATGTCACAGTAAACATTATTTCAACATAATAAACTGTACTCATTAAATTGAAATAATTCATAATTTATTCTCCATTAATAATTCATATTTGGTTGGCAAATAGTTAAATACTTGATTATATTTGTTTATATCATATAAACAACTTTCGGATATTTTCATTTATACGAATTAACTAGAAATATAAGCAATGAACATCCAGTGTACGTGCATTCGTATATCTTATAAAAAAAGAGAAAAGAACAATATAGATAATTTTATGAAAATTCACGCAATAGCTTTAATTGAATAAAATAGTTTATTTTATAGATCTTTATTTCCCTCGTTCAAAAATTTCCAGTGCTATGTCATGAGGTAAAGTAAATAAATGACGTATCCAAATATAAAAAATTATGTTTATATGTGTTATTACAAATAATTCTAATAAGAATTGTTACGGAGAAATATTTGCCTTTCCTCTAATAAGTTGTTTTCGTATACAGAAAAAAATCATTCAGATGTAGATATGCATTTGCGAAAAATATGAAATTATATTAGAAAAAAATAAATTAAAATGTTTGTAATCTATAAATATATGTATGTATATAAGTTTTGTTTAATGCCAATTATGAAATAATTCTATAATATATCGCAATAGAATAATAAATTAGGTGATAAATCTCGTTCCATGTGTGTAAAGGAAATTAATATTAACTTATATAATAATATAACATATAATATTAATTTTCCTACCGAAAGTCTTTATTCATACTTTATTTTTATTTTAATTCGAATGTTTAATTCTATTTGATTGTAAATCAGTGAAAGAAATTTCGCATAGGATGTTTGCTTTTTCTCAGCTAGAGGATGAAAATTGGAAACAGGATACGGAGAGTAAACAAATAATAATTCGGTCGAAAGGAATTTGTCGTACGAAATTCTTCGGATTTTATTCTATCTTAAGAAATTTTTGTTGAAAATCCTAAGAAACAATTCTACATAAGCTTGAAAGTATCAACGAGAAGAGCCTAGTTCGACCTAAATCATTTTTTTCTTTTTTTTTTACAAAGTTATCTTTCGCGAAAACTCCCACCGGTCCTGATACGGAGACACAATGGCCACTCGGTAAATACTATGGACAGGCAATTTTTTCTGACGTGTATTATATGTATATATCGAATAAAAATCTCTTCATCAAGAGATACGCTAGGAATAGAAGTACGTATATCTAGTGCAACTCCTGTAAGAAACAGCTGATTAGAAAAAGAAAATTGACAAGAATTCATTCTGTGAAGCTGCGAATATTCTTAAATTAATTAAGTATCGCTTATCTTTCTTTTATTTGTTCTATAGATACGAATTTTATGCAAAACTGTTCCGTTTAACTGATTTGACAAGAATAGATATAATTCTTTTGCGTATTTATCGTATCTCATTGTCAATCATATCCTATATTTACGTATTTTATTTTATACTACATAAATTAAATTTTAAAAAATTGTATTTCTAATCCAATTGCTTGTAACGAAAGCGAAATGCCAGTAATTTAATAATAGAAAGTAATAAGAAATTTTTAAACACTTTTAACATAGGTTGCTGATTTCTCAAGCTCAAGAATTTAATTTCGCAGACTGAATTTCCATCAATTTTTTTTTAATCCGTCTATTTTCCGCAGGGATGTAATAATGTAGATTAATATTTAACATAAGCTTTTAAATCTCCGATCATGACATTTTTTCTTTTTCTCACAGATAAAACGCTCGCACACAAAGATTTATTCTCTTTCTCTCTCGCTCGCTCTCTCTCTCTCTTTCACTCTCTCTTTCTCTCTTCAAGCGACTTATGTTTCTGAGATGCAGTATATGCGATCATACGTTGAGTAAATAGTGTCTTAAGGTTCCTGGTTTTCCTTTTTATCTATATTTATAATATTGAACCGAATGAAAAATAAGAAATTACATAAATTTTTTATCCGAAATACGTCGAAATAAATTATTAGTATGATATCACTCACATTCAATATATAGATTGGTAAAATATATCAAAGTCAAAATTCTCTGTTTGATTCATGAATTAATAAATAGTTGTAAAACTCGGTATCACATTTCCTATAATGTTTATTTTCGCTTGAAATGTAGAGAACACGTTCGAGATATAATCATGCATTTGTTACAACGCAACATAATAAAGAGTGGCATGCGAAAATATTAATTTATTTCGATATAATCCGCGAAAAAAAGTTGATATGTTTTCGACGAATCATAATACAATAAAGCTGCATCGAGAAAGCAGAAGCCTTAAAACATTTCATGTATATTAAAGTACACAATTATACATAAGAATAATTTACGAAATAATTAATAAATAATATGACGATAAATTATAATAGTCCGAAACTACGCAATAATAACATGTGATATATTTATATAATTATGCTAATTATATCGTAGGCGATCAAAGCACATAAAATATAATCTAAAACAACTTGGAATAGAAATATTAAATAAAAACATTAATTAGAAATAAATTGGAAAAATAAATGCCTCTCTACTTTGACTATTATCTATGGAATTATAAGAGTGAGAAAACAACAACAAAAATATCGTGAAAACATCAGGGATTTTGCAATAAATATTTGATTCCGTATAAATTCACTATATTGTGATAGAGAGACAAATTGATCATTTTACTTCGATCTTGGAAATACAATCTTATTCAATTCGATTATGTTACTTGAAAAATTGGACGATAAGTACACTTATCATCATCTTGAGTATAGTTTGTAAATCAATAAAAGCGGAACTCTAAAATCTCGGTAAACGATATTCTGTATAAAAAGCATATTACTTTTCTCTTTTTACAGGACCAAGAAAGTTTATATACACATTTCGCGGGTATGGCTCCCTTTCCAAGTTATTCTATAATGCTGAGACAATTGTTAATAATGTTTATATATACAAGCTATACTTTTCACACGAGCTTTCACACAGATTCACTGCATCTCTTTTTTTTTCCTTTCGCAAAAAAGCTGTAAGCATGCAATCAATTTTTTCAGCCATTTTATCAACGCGCGCAGATATACATTCTACAAAAATGCAAATCCATCTCTTTAATGAATAAAATTGTCATACGTGGTGCGAAGCACAATATTAAAGATAAAACACTTAAAGGAAGGCAAATATGTATAGATTTCATCCTATCAAATTGTTTGAGGAAAATTTAATCCAAATTTTTTGAAAGAATATTATTGTTAAATGAGAATGGAATTTTTTAAAGGTAGACTGTAACATAATATTTATAAATAATATGTAAATCATTTCTCTCGAATACATCATCTTCGAATACATGTCATAAATAATTTGTTCACTTAAAGGGACTATTTTTCGATCGAATATGATCGATCGCATTTTAATTGACGCCCTTAATCATTCATTGCCTTCAATTATACAGTCATAATTATTTTAATTTTTTCTTGTATATATTGCTTAATATTGATCAGTCTGCACTGATTAAAGTATGCAAAATTGTCCTCGATAGAAAATTGACTTAATTCTTTGCACTAGAATATTACAAATTAAAGAAATTTGAATAAAATTATTTAATATTAATTATCTTATCTCTCTCTCATTTATCATCATAGAATGTAGAAGATATTATTTTTATAGTATTTTGCACTTATTGCTTTTATATATGACCATTAAAATTATTATAAAATAAAGTCACTATAATTATCACATCTTTTTCAAACGTTAAATAAGACAAAAAAAAGAAAAAACATATATATATATATATATACAATTTCTTCTTTGTGATAATTAATTTCATCTCCATTAATTTAATTTAATCATACATTTTTTTCTTATAAAAAAGAGAATTTTTTTTAATAACAATGATAGAAAACCGATCAAGATAAATCTGTCAAGTACAAAGAATTAAACCTATATTATTATCAATATATATTAGCAATATATATTCTCATCCACAGCCGTTTTTCTCTTGGTGTCATTCGCTGTATCATTCGATCTCGATGTTTAACAGTAAGCAGTGTTCGTACGACTGTTATCACTCAAGAAAAACCTTCTAGTTGTTGCGCGCTCGAAACTATAAGCCGTATCATTCTTGCATTTTCTCTTTAGAACTACTGCCCTTTTTAGGGTACTTTTTAAATATGTGTGTAGAAAATGCGCGAGAGATGTTTGAGAAATAATACGAAGATTTACGAGATGTTTTTCTTTTTTTCTTTTTTTTTTTTTTTTTTGAACGAAAAGATTCGTATCGAATTTTTGTCAAAAAATATGAATAAAGAAAAAAATTGCGTTGTAATTCTTAGCAACAATTGTATTTTCTTTTGCAAGCGATATTATTATAGTTGACGTTTTTTCCTTTTTCTGGATTACATGAATAAGCTAAACTCAAAAAAAGATAAAGTATCGTCCAATTCTTCTGACCTATTCTATATTTATGTATGTGTGTACAATATCGCGACATTAATTAGACAAAAATGCATATTTTAATGTTCGCCCTTTTAATTTAATCCTTACAAATAACTAATTTGTTTTATAAATCGTTAAACCACTTTCACGTCTTTTCATTTCATTTAAGTTCTCTTCTGTTTGTGTGCCCTTTAGAAAAAAAATATTTTTCTCAATTTACAGGAGATACAAAAATATTGAATACTGAACTTACATCAATATACTAATGTATCGTGTCCAAAAATTGAAAATTATCTAAATAAATAATTACGACGAAAGCTACATCTCAAACATCTCTCGTAACACTCGATGCATCCAGCACGAGACCCACATCGTCGCCACTTCGATGGTTCGGCTCAAAAAGCAAACATTTATAATTTAAATATTATAATTCGAATAATTTCCGCATTAAAAATTAATTTGAATTTTTTTTATTATGCACTATTAACATTTTATTTGCAATCGTAGGTTAATATGTATACTTGTCTATACTCTTTGTTTATAATAATTTGTAGAAAATAGAAAGAAAGAAGGAAAAAAATATATATATGCATATATATATATAATTAAATCCTTCATTTTTAGAATGAGGTATAGATTAAAAATATTTGTTTTTTTTTTCAATATTTCAATACTACATTCTGTATCTCACAAATAGAAAAATTAATAATCTTTTCTATTTATTTTCTGAAATAATGTTACAAATATATAAAATCTATTAAAATCGAATAGAAATTTATTGTAACATTTAATAAAAATGTATACTTTTCTGTATATATATTATGTGTGTATGTATTATACATATATTTAGTCTAACTGGGATTAAATTATTCAATTTCGTTAGGAAAATCTAAATGTATAGAATATATAGAAAGAGCAATAGAAAAAAATATTAAACATTTTTTGAAAATGTTCTAACCGAACTCTAACATATTAAAAAACTTTTTATACTCTCATCTAATTTTTTTTATTTTAAAATTATTATGCACTCTTTTCTATGCAGGCCATATAATGATGGTCTTTCTTCGATTTCAAGATTGCAAATAAAATGATGTAATATTAATACGACTACTCAATGAGATTCGAATCACTAAATAAAGGCCTTTTTCGTCATTCGAAGAAAAAAAATAAAAAACCGATGTGGCCAGCTGAAGACTGAAATTTCGAACGTCGTTTTCTCGAGCCGGTCCATTGACTTGCAGCTTCTGCCGCAAAGTGACGCAAAGTCTCGTATCCCGCCACGAGAACAACGTGGGACGTGCGCTCCAATTCCAGTGCAATATATCGGTACGAGATCTATTTGTTTTATCGATAAGTTTTTAAATACAAAGTGGACTACCGGTATGTAACTTCGACACTATACCGCGAGGATGCTCGTTCCTCGCGTAACGCCTCGCATTTACGCCCGACATTTATCCCCGGGTATCACGATGAGACTCGCGAGAGGACTTCTCTCGGTCACGATGAGACAAATGTCGATGAGAGAAATTGAGATTAAAACGTCGAGCGTAAAGCTAAGCTTGAGATGACGCTCCACCGTCGAAACGGAGATTGAGACACTATTATAATTACTTCACAGCGTGGTAGTAATATCCTCCCACGCGAGACTATTTACAGGATAAATATAATACACAAAATTCTGTAAGAGAGAGTCTTCTTTCGCTAGAGAGACGATTTTGTTCACTCACCATCACATTAATGGTCTCTCCTCTCTCGTCGCTTTTCATCACCTATATATAACGTTCTCTCAAAAAAGCAAAACGCTACTATCATAAGTTTCTATTTGTTCCTAACTGTTCTATCCGCGATCATCCGTCTTCCAATATTTGGAAACCAGAAGGCGGCCTTCAACACGTCTTCGAAGCACCATCTGAGAAATAAATTCGTTCTTCAGCCGATTTTCTCGACCGATACATTTGAACTGATACGTCTCGAAGCACGCCAAGACCAATAAATTGTTCCTTTATTTTTCTAAAGTATCTCATCGCGGATAATTTGCAACGATGAAACGATTTTTCTGTCATCTTCTGATATCCGCGATTATGCTAAATTCTCTATATATCTTGTTTTATCAATGATTCCTTCGAACTCTTCGAACCAACCGAGCCGAAGTCTCATCTTAATTCTTGTTTGAAGCCTTTACCTTTCGTCATTTTTTATAGAGCCGCAAGACGAGAGAGATCTGTGGCTTAATACTCCTTCGAAACTCACTTCTAGCGGCTAACTGTTCCCTCATAATTTCGTCGTTCTATCGTCGTCCCGCCAACAGTTTGGAGCTACAAAGCGACTAATTAGTTTAACATTCCTTTGCAGATCTAAGCTGTGGTATAGCTACCTTCATCATTCCTATAGTTTTCTGTTCATTTTAATACTGCTGTCCAGCGTAATGCTGAGACAATCGGCTATCTATTATTCCTTCCATCCTCGTTTTGCTTCCCTCTTCTCATTAACGATTTAAAGTTGCAAAGAGTTACTTATCTTTCTTTTTAAGCATTTCCACCAATCAACCAACTTCCGACTAATTGTTTCTTCAATTGTTCTATAATTACTTTTTTTTAATATTTCGGAACAATATTAAGTAATTCTTCGTCATTCTAAAACGCTACGATTCGTGGATAATTGTTCCATTCTGTCGTTTCTTCATTTTTTCTTCATCAAATTTCCAAGCGATTTATACGTATCGACTTGACGCAACACTTTGAAATACAATTATATAATTAAGACTATTGACAAATTTCTCTTCTTTCATCTCATACTGTCGTTTCTTCATTGACCCTCCAAGGATTTGAAGGCACGAGACGATGTGTCACATTGATACTTCTTCGAAATATAATACTAGAACCGTTGGATAACCGTCATATTTATCAATACCTTGAAGCAAGGAGGCGGTAATGCATATCACATGATTCGAGATAATAAAAACAACGGATATCGTGTTCTCAAAACTCAAAACATGCGTCGTTCGGGTACACTTTTTCGCGTAGACGAACATTTCTTTCGCGCACACCGAGTTCACATCATCGATTATCACATAACAACGACACATTAGCACTATGAATAATCATTCCACGGAGTTACCCTCGTCGTAATGCGAGAACTTGAGGAATACTTGTTCCAGAGTAGTTTGACTAAAGCTGTACTCTTCTATGTCCAGTTCGAGCTTGGCTGCAAACAGAAATTTTTATATTTCTCTAATTTTTTAATTTTAATCTTCTTTAGACATTTTTGAACCGTTTTTAGATTTTCTTATTTATTTCAGATTACATTGCAGATTGATTAACACATTTCTTCATAAAATCGCTATTTATTTCTCACCTTTTTCCAACTGCATGAAACACTCGGCCAGCGAGTTGACAGCATGTTGGGGTACGGCGAAGACCAGCCGATCGGCGAAGCTCTCCTCCAAGGTGGCATCGGGAAAGAGACCGGCGACAAATTCCTTCAAGGTAGCGATCCTGTCACCGGAGGGAGTTGTTGGCGTGCAATCGCCGCCCAGCAGCTTCATCTCGAGAGTATAGCCGGCGCCATAAAGATTCTTCAGGTGCTGAGTCGAGCCGATGCATCTTAGCTCACCCTTCACCATTATGCCGACCCTCGAACACAATGCATCGGCTTCCTCCATAGAATGGGTAGTCAATATCGCTCCCCTGCCACCCTGTTGACATTTAAGAAATATCTTTAATATATATTTTCCAATATTTTATATATTTTTTAAATTCAAGTTCTTCTTTTATTTATATTATTTATTTATATATTGATTTTACACTTATTTTTTTCTTAAACCAGTTTTTATAAAACTTTAAAAATTTTTTTACTTTGACAATGTGTTTTTAATGGAAGTAAAAAATAGAGCTTTAGAGATATATATTTATATATAATAGTGCACAATGATACTAACTTGGAAACTAGCAAGAATCGTGTCCCACAGGAATCTCTTTGATCTAGGATCCATGCCTGTGCTCGGTTCATCCATGAGGACTACCTTGGGTCCGCCGACCATCGCCATCGCGAAGCTGAGTTTTCTTCTAGTCCCACCGGAACATTCTTGAGTCTGCTTGTCTGCGTGTTCGTGGATTTGTAGACCGGACAGATATAAATCCACGATTCTGTGACACGAATCAAATAGAATAAATTAAATAATTATATTTATAAGATGTTAAGAAAATATGTGCATGATCAAATCAAAGATCGAACGATGTTCTACATTAGAAATACATTGATTATATTAGAAAAATAGTTGGTAAAATCTAGACATTGCTTAGAACATCTCTGTGTATATATAAAAGAAACTCAATACATCTATATTTTAAAATTAATGATTCTATCTATATATCTTATCTATATTTAATTATATCAGCTTTTCTCTACATGTAAAATTATATTTAGAAGAAACTACAAATATGAATTTATATTTTAACATTACTTAATATTATATACAGTTTATTATAGCTGCTATAATAAAGCTTTGACGCACATAAATAAAGATTCTTTTCTAAATTTATAACTGTTAAACTATTTATAATTGACTGTTGATATCCGAGAAGTAAGCACAATTTGTCGCTGATTAAATTACAATAATATTACAAGATCCTCTTTTCCCGACCTGTCGATATCGCTCCAAGGAACCCCGCGAATCGCGGCGTAACACTCGAGATGCTCTCGTACGGTGATGTTCTTCCATTGAGCGTCGTGTTGCGGGCAATAGCCCATCTGCTGAAAAGCGTCTGCCATGTGGGTGTTGATATTGTGGCCGCCGATCTGTACCCTGCCCCTCGTCGCCGCTTCCTCGGCGATGATGATCTTCATGGTCGTGGTTTTGCCGGCGCCGTTGTGGCCTAGCAGACCCAGAACCTCGCCCGGTTCCACCGCCAACGAAAGATTCCGCACGGCGATCTTCCGTTGCTTCTGCACGACCTCCTCCTCGCGCTTCGAGCAACAAGCGCAGGACGACCCCGCTTCTTGCGGACGGTACTCCTTTCGCAGATTCTGCATCATATTTTATAGCGTAAAGTGAAATGACATCGCATTGGCAGGCAAAACTTTGCACGATGATAGGTAAATATGAAATCGACAGAAAAATATTTACTCCAATAAAAATGATTAAAATGACTAACTTTTTTAAAAGGCAAGATGATAAATTTGCAGATTTGTTAAAGAATTATTATCAATTATAGCTATATTTTATTTAAATAAAATTTTATAAAGCATCTGTTATAATGGACATTGCAATAATTCGATTTGCATTAACTTACCTGCACCAAGACTACAGGCGGCTCTTGAACGGCCGACGAGGTAATAAGGTTGAAGACCTTCTGTCGCTCGTTTTTCACATCCGCATCTTCGTGTTCGCCGATGTCAGAGTTTTCCATTATTTCTTCACCAATGGAGCCACCATTACGCTACGATAAAATAATTCTCATAATTACTAAAATGTCTAAAAATATTTTAACAGATTTTTTTAAAACCTGTTTTTTTAAACTTATAGTTATAGGCTGTCATTAAAAGAACAAGAAGTGTAAGAGATAATGCAAAATTCATTCTAACCAGAAAGTATTTGAAGAAATCACTGATGTTGCCGCCGCTCTTCTTGATGTCTAATAAAAGTAGAATGAAGAACCAGAATGGGACGTGCAACACTACGCCGACAACCATCAGTATGATCTCCGTGGTGAGATAATCGGACATGGTGAGATGATGGCAGGCAGCGTTGATGGAGCACATCAGGTAAACGCGGTCCACATAATATACCGCTGCATACGGCACGTACATAGAGTTCAATAGGGAAAAGACCACGTGCAACGCGAATGCAGCTGTCCCGCCTTGAGCAACAGATGAAGTAGCATGATGAATAAAGCTTGATTCAGTGCTTGATATCGTGTACGTTCCTGCACTGGTGCTAAATTCGTTCCATATTGTATCCGTACCTATCAGTGCAAAATATTCACATAGTTCAGTTCTGCCAATTTTTGTTCAGTACATCTCAGAACACCAGAAAAGAAAGATGTATTTTTCAATCGAAGAACTTGCAGTGATTGCACTAATTGTAAATAAAAAAGAAGAAATTATTTTATGTAAAAGAGACCTGAACATGCCGTATCGGACGGATATCGGACGTGCACTCACGGTACGGATGCGAAACGGATACAGCACGGATATGCCTAATATACCTTAATCTTATAATTCTCATGTTAGTAAATACAGAGTGCCCCAGACTTAATGTGCCACCCGTTAATGAGAGGTTCTTGAGGCGATTTGGAGACGATTCTTCCTCAGCGAAAATGTCCAGGCAATAATTTTCGAGTTATAAACAATTGAAAATAAAGTTTTTCGCAAATTATAAGCCTTGTGAAAATAAAATATTAACAAAATCATATTCTTTTACTAATTTCATGTAGTTTACTTTAATAAAATTTTAATTTAAAGCTTAATTACAAAAATACATGATTTCAAAAATTGGGAACATTAAAAAAATGATGACCTTCCTCGACATTTTCGCTGAGGAAAAATCGTCTCCAAATAACCTTAGGAATCTCCCATTAACGTGTGGCACGTTAAATCTGGGACACTTTGTATATCGAATTAATAATTGAGTAAAAAATAATTAAAACTTGTGGCTTGTTCACTTAAAAGAGGAAAACTACATAAATATAGATTTAGAATCATGACATAAAAAATTTGTACAGAAAGATTTATATAAAAATTGTTTAAATCTAATATTACACCAGATCTAAAGTGATCTAGGAGAGTGTCTCGATTACAATATATTTACCGACTCCCAGCATATCGAGGATCATGACGAGGAGGAATGGTATCAATCCGAAGAAGGTCGCGATGTTGGGTAGGATGCTTTGAGCGGAATCCATCTTGTCGAAAATGTAGCTGAGGCAGGTTGAAAAGAGGATAGACGATGGGCAGTAGAGCATGAGGAGGGTGCCAAGGGTGATGACCGCCGGTAGCTCCTGTAGCGAAGGCACGTCGAAAAGGAATATGATGCCAAGGATGCACAGGCAGATGAAACACATCAGGCCACTCAGCACAATAAAATAGCTTATGAAGTACAAAGGAAACGACAGGCCATTCACACGAAGCTGGTTCTTCGCCTTGATCTGCAGAACATTTTAAACAGCATCATTAAGCTAATGTATCACATAAAATTTCTCAAAGGAATAGCATCATGGTTTAATCGATTTTTTATTCAACTTTTCATAAAATATATTTAGTCGTAAAAATAATATTATTGTGTGTAATTTTAAATCTATGTCTACGCAGCTCTTACCTCACGATCGTAAACCATATCCACTGCTAGAGTAATCGGCAATAACACGAAGTCCATACCAATAAAGAGAGCACAACTGGCCGTGCCAATGTTGAACTCTTGGGGTTGCGATGTTTGCTGGAAAGGATGCGTTTTGACCTCGATTCGTGTAGGATCATTCTTGTTTGAGACCAATCTAAAAGTAAAAATTTATATTTTGAAAAAATATTAATTAATTTAATTTCGACGAATGTACTTTCTCTAAATTGTGCAAATTTTCGTTTGATATACAATTAAAAATGTTTAAAAATATAAATCTGCAATGGTTGTCTTTCCGAATAAATGTTAATTTACAACATCAACTTTTGTGTGATTTATATTGTTTTAAATTTTGTTTAATTTTCTTACAACAAAATCTAATATGGTATCTTTTAAAAATAATTTGCATTCTAAATATCCTTATCCGCTTAAATCTCTTTATTTACTTTCCATAAATAATCAAACTCACCTATGATAAGTGTTCGAGAGAATGTTCACCAAGATTGGAAGAGAATGTTGCATCGTATCATTGTAAATCACGGTCAGGTTGAATTGTGGCAGATTATAATTGGTAATGTTGAAGGCAGCTACATGCGGTGCAATGTTCAACAAATTTACGAAATCGCCATCGTATTCCTCGATATGCTTCGCGTCGTGAGCTATACCATTCATCAACTCAGTGATGTCGCGGTCGCTGTTATTTATATAGAGAATCTTGGTTTCTTCGCCGTATGTCTCTGCAAGAGGTAATAAACGATTACTTGATCCAAGTAACAACATCTCGTGTTATTAGTTTCGAGAAAATTATAATTTATTTTATAAAAATATATATATATTTTCTCATATGCGTCTCCTATTCTTCTTCCTTCATAAATTCGCAAATCTTATCAAAGACCAAGAAATCGGTTTTAATTCTAAATTCTATGTTTATTTTTTTTTTTCATTCAATTTTATTCGTATTCGCGAAATTATGGACACATTTATAATAATTTTTATTACATTTTTATAAAAGTATATTCGCGAAGCAATGCATTTAGACAGTTGATCGAGACTTTTTTTAAATATCTGAAATACATATATGAAACGTGCAATGAGATGAGTCTCTAAATAAATTGAACGAGTGCGCAGATAAGAAAACAAGCTAAGCGGTTACCTCCTACCTTGCATAAGATGCAACCACTTACGGCTATTAAGTTTCAGCGACTGCATCTTGATGTCGACGGTCTGGATACTATTTAGGTAGAGACCGAGTACTATCAGAGCTAGCGGCATGACGATCGTAAAGTACAATAGCTGGATGTTCCTGAAGAGTCTGAGCACTCTTAGACGTAGCATGGCGTAGAGAGTCTGAAGAAAGTTAGGCCGGATCTTGATGGGGTCTAGGCCGAGGCCGAGCACAGGTGGATTTCGGTCGTTATTATGGACTCCGTCCGGTAACTCGTTCGCTGCTTCAATAATATTATCATATTATTAGATAATTCAGTTAATATTTAATATTAAATTTTAAATATTCAATTTATATTATTAATATTTAATATATTATAATATTCTGTTATATGAAATATTATTACCATTAATATTTAATAGTAATTATTATTTAAATGTTTAATATAAATTGATTTGATCAGTAAATATATAAATAATAAAGGGGGTGATTAGATGTGGAAGACAGAATGATTCACTCGCAGGAACTTCAAAGGGTAAAGAGTGTAATAGAAGGGGTACCTTTGCCTTGGCTGTCGCCTTGAACGGTCACCCCCTCGTTTTGCAAGCTCTGATACGACGTACTTTTAGATTGCAACGAGAGCGATCGGCTGAGCGCTCGATTGCGCACCATCTTCTTCGACAAGTTGTCCATCGTGCACTCGGTCTCCTCGTCTTTCTCCAGATGCAGAAACACCTCCTCCAGGGTGGTCATCGACACGCCGTAGCTGCTGATGCCGAGTCTGCTCGAGCGGGTCTTGATCTCGTGTTCGATGGCGGTAAACAGCGAAGCGAAGTTCTCCACAGAATTGTGGGGTAGAATGAAGCTCAATTCTCGACCGTGACGTCTCGCCTTCTCCGCTTTGCTTACATGCGAAGTCACTAATCGATTGATAGCATGTTCCCTCGCATTACCCTCTAGGACTAAGCTGTAATTAAAAAATAATAATTTAGATCATCAATTATAATTTTCTCATGATATAAATCTATAAATTTTACAGCTTTTCTTTCATCGAAATAAAATTTAACGATATGCTGAAGTGTAGTCTCATAGAGTATTCATAGTCCGTTCTTATATTTAAGATCTTAAGACCTCGTTCAACCAATGAGATGCTATGCGGCCATTTGATTGGTTAAACGAGGTCTTAAGACGATCTTAAATATAAGAACCAACTGTGAATACCGGCCATATAATATCTTTTTTTTTATATATAAAAGATTGAATTTATTTAATTTTATTAAGCCACAGTTATAAAATAAATAATGTACAAAATTAAGAAAATCTTTCTTCAAAATGCAATCCTTAATTCAAAATAATAAACTAACTGCTAGTATCCCTTACGTTAAATGATAACCGATGCCAAACTTGTTCTTCAGAAACAGAGAGCTGCCGCAGCACCGGAGTTTTCCCTTGCTGATTACTGCTTTTCTGTCTGCAAGAATGTCCGCCTCATCCATGAAGTGAGTCGTCAGCAGTATCACTTTTCCATGTCGCCTCGACTGCAGAAGAGACCACATCTGTCTTCGCGAATAAGGATCCACCCCGGCGGTAGGCTCGTCGAGGATAATGATTTTTGGATCGCCGATGATGGCGATTCCTACTGACAGCTTTCTCTTTTGTCCACCGCTTAGGTATTTTGCGAAAGTGTCCGCTTTCTCGGCTAGATCGATATCTTTCAGGGTTTTCTTCACCTGATAATTAAAAGAGCAGCGGTTAAGAAATTCACATTTTTATTTTCAACGTTCTATTTTTTTTAAATTACATATTAATCTTAATTAGTATTTATATTAATCTGATTTCTAGTAAATAAATATAATAGTTGAGTTACAGTATGATCCTAAGTAGCAAACTGACGTCATTCGAGCTGTGTCAAAGTGACGTATGCTTGCTACCTGGGATGATGCTATTTCAAAAGAAAAAACAAACATATTATTATGCATACCTCGTGTTGTATCATCGAGCGTGGAATGCCACGCACAGCGGCGAAGAATTCGAGATGCTCGCGCGGCGTCAGCAAATCGAAAAGAATGTCGTGCTGCGGACAGACCCCCGTCATGCTGCGTATCGCCCGCATGTCGTTGGAGTCGCGGACGTCGTAGCCGAATATGAGGGCGGTACCGGTGGTAGGTGCGGTCAGACCCGTGAGAATGTTGAAGAGGGTGGTCTTGCCGGCGCCGTTGTGTCCGAGGATGGCAGTGATCTGGCCCTCGTAGATGGTCAGATTGATGCCGTTCACAGCCTTGGTCTCCGGACGCTTGCACTTGTGGTACGATTTGTAGAGATCGGCTATCCTGATGGCCTCGCGGCCCTTCATCTCGCGCACCACTGGCTCCACGTCGCGATTCGCCTCCTCGCCCGGGATAAACGAGTTCGACTCGCCGTTCGACGACGGCACCTGCAAGCATCTCTGTGAAGACGATAGCCATCGACTCGAATTATTCATCAAATTTTTGTATTATTAAAGGGAAGGGAAATATATAATAACGCAGCTCTAAAGGAAAATCTGAGGATATCATCTGGATATTTTTATCAAGACTTTGGAACTTTTGTACTGATTGGTTTAAATATTATTTCAATAATTTTATTGGAGAAGATATACAAATATCTCGAAAATGTAATTTACCTACCCTTTGAACCTTTCTCTTACACCAAAATCCAGGTACAAAGCAAAACCAAGGTGGCTTCTTGGTTCCGTATTCACCTAAATAAAATTAATTTAATTAATCTTATAGATATATTAAATTTTATACAAAAATATTTATCTTTATATGCAAATAAATCTTTTCGAAGAATAGAATAGAAATTGTGTGAAATGCAACAAATATTCTTCTACATATATTATTTTAATAAGAATTGATTATTTTCGCGCCGATTGACATTATGCATTGCGATAAATCACGAAGAGATCGAAACTTACTTGGTATTACGGAGTCGAGATAATAGGCCAGCCAGCCGTATAGGAAAATATCCAAAGTCATCATGATGAGACTGCCGCCGAAGGGTATCCCAGGACCAGACCACAAATTATCGAAATTCACTCCCTGGCCTTGCAGATCCAGCACCAGAGCCTGCGCAACACAACGCAAAGCTTTTTGAGATACACGATGCATATTAAAAATCTTTTATTGACACAACTATGCAAATACACTTGCAATTTACTGTTCAATTATTTATATATATTTCGCAATATAATAATACTTTATTTAATTTTTCTAAATTTATATAAGATCATATTCGTTAATTCGGCATTATTTATTTGTGGTGGAATAAATTATTATTGCAAAGTACTTCGAAGCTTACTTTGTCCATCGCCAGGGCGACTCCGGTTGGGCTGAGTAGAGAGACTAACCAGAAGGAGATCGAGCTGGAATCATCTACGAATACTTGGATGAAGTACATTAAGCTCAGTATCGTGACAGCGAAGTTGCCCAAGACACCAGCCGTCTGAAGCGGAGAAAAGGAAGATATTTTTATCATTTTATTATCATGTAACTTTTCTTTATACATATTAGGATAGTACTACATAAACCAATTATTATGCTGAGATCTTTAATTTAGATGAGAGTTTAGGCATGCAAATTGTTATAAAAAAGTTGCACTTTGAAAAGTTGAAACTTTTAGATTAATATAAAGTTTGATTAAAATGCATAAAAAGGAAAATCTCTCTGCGCCTGCATTTTAAAAATTACTTACGCGCGACTTGTCGAAGAACGGCGTTATCATGAAGGCGAACATGATTACGGAGAAACTGTATAGCACCACTAGAAGGAATATCGGCAGGAAATGAGTGTGTTGAAACATTTGCAGAGTGAAAAGCAGAACTACTCCGACGGCGGAGAGCAACAAAACGAAGATGCTGTAGATGATAAACCACGACAACCTGGGAAAAGACACGCAATAGAACACGTTTAACATGAGAATTAATTATTATCGGAGATCACTAATTATATCAGAGCTGAAATATATAATATTTGACGGAGAATTGTGTTTACAGATATTTACAATCTTACCAAAACACAGAATCATTTAGGCCCATGATCTTCATCCCTTCCTTTATCTTATTCTCCTTCTCGCCGACTATCAAGATGAGGAGATAAGTGATGAATTGCGAGAGCGCCAGGACCATGTAGAGAGGAATAACAACTCTGAAGGCTAGCATCCAGTCTGAAGAATATCGTTGACACATGAAACACCCACATGCACACACACACACACACACACACACACACAGATAAATGAATAAAGATTTTCTGGAAAGATTGCTTACCGGCGGTAAAAGCTTCCTTGGGAAACATCTCGAATTTAATATCCGGTATAGTGACGTCCGAATTCGTGTCCAACTACAAAAAATTAACATCAGTGTGTCAATGTATGTACCTCTCTAAATACTGTCTTCCAATTGTAACATCAAATTTACCTTCATCTTATTCGGCAAAAGATGTAACAAACGAATAAAACTGATAGATATTTACTGAGCTTTAAAATGAAAGGAAGATCTCGTTCTTCATACGACACTTTGTTCCATATATTCGCAGTTTAGATTTGGAAATTCAATAAAGAAATAAAAAGAAAAAAAAAGACTTACTTTTATCTTCGTGATATCCATTATCATCTGCAGAGCCAGGAAGCCGGAATGTAAGTAATTCTTGACGGGACAGGATCCGCCGGTCTCTATCGACAAAACGCCACCCACCCAGTCGTCTACCAGGCTCATGTCCTTTCGACAGGTGACCGGAGCGGAATAGAGTTCCTTTGGCGAAGGCGGCGAAGTGTACGAAGGATTCGTCCTAATTTCATATCTGAGAACAATATATAAAAAAAGTTTCATATATTAATAAAAAATGCTGATTTTTATATCATATTGGAGATTGAATCAAGATGAGAAAGATTCTGAGTTTTCTTTTAAAGTATTTGCGTTTAATCTCTGGAAAAATTGTACTTAATTCCACACACATAGCATTTTTTAGCTTTAAATATACTGTAAAATATTAAGATTGTCATGAAAAATATATAATACTTATTTTATATATAGAATACTTATTTTAAAAAATCAATTGCATCTATTATTTAAATCTAACGTTATTTTTTATATATTTGCATCTTTATTAAAATCTTTCACATTTTTATTTCTACAAATAACAAAGCAAAAATAAAAAATATATAAAAATGATCCTTACTGCAGGGAGTTTCTCTTTTTATCATTACATCGTTCCCATGCATCTTTTGCACCGAGAAAAGGACCACGTACCTCTTCTTAAATTTATGATTAACGATGCAAAAGTTATCTTACATGAGACGTTGTGTTATCGGTTGGGCATCTTCGAAGATAACTGCCAGGGGCACGCTGGAAGGATCTCTCCAATATGCTGCCTGCAGATCGTCCTTCGTGTCGAACACCATGAAGTTTAAGGGAAGCTTATCGGGATAATCCCACATAGAGGACCAGAGGTTGTTCATGGAGGATAAGAAGTTCTGGAAAACATCGTTAACTTTGTATTATTATGCGAAATTTTGCAAGATACGACAAAGAAATCGCCTTGTAATAGTTTATACGGAATAAAATTATATATGTAACATATATAAGAGATATATGTGACGAGAAAACTATAATTTTTAATGAGTTCAAGAGATCGCTTTTCGAACAAAAATATTATCGCGATATGATGTTAAAGTAAAATCAAAATTGTGTATTTTTATAAGAATATAAATAAAAAATTAAATGTATTGTTTAAATTATATTTTCTTTCTTTTGCAAAATTATATTATTTATCAGAGGAAAGTTTATTTAAATGAACAAATTAATTAAATGAAAAATGTTGAAATGAGATAAAAAATACAATGATTTTATTTTTAGATTTTCCAATAAAACATTTTTGCATAATAGTTAAAGAGTAAAAGCGCTCGCACTTAATTCGATAATTTAATTTGCTGACTTGGCAATGATATCCAGAAAATAATACTTACCATGGTTTCCGTAGAATTAGGTACCACGGCAATCGTGTTATTTGTGTGACCGTTGAATAATTTAAATACATCCCCTTCGGGCCTCTGCGTCGTCATCGCGGGATAGTTTGGATTTGGTATCAGAACCTTCACCACGATCAAGATCCCAAGAGTGTATAGGGGTAGAAAGATCTCCTGTAGGCAATCGAGCGATACTGATGTCAAATCAGATAAATTTATACGCCATTTATACGGCGTGTTTCGCGGAATCATTATAAGATTTCAGTTCCCTCATAAAGTAATAATTGGATTGCTTTTTTGCTAAAAAAAACTCGAGAGCTTTTACGTTCAAATTCAAAAATAGACATTTATTTAAACTTCTCTCTAAAAAGAGAAAAAAAAACAATATAGTTAATAGATTATATTGATGAATAATTTTAAGCTGTAAATATATATTTACTTGAATTTTTTGACAATTAGTAGAGAGAGAGATGAAGATTGCGGAGAGAAATAAAGATGCAAAATCAAGAAAGACCTTCTATTTTTAGGAGGTTTATTATTCTATGAATACACCGTTCCGTAATTACGCGGCTCATTCCGAATGAATAAAAGATATTTCATGTTTTTTGCAGATAATATCCACAGTATGCAGGAAATAGGGTGGTTTCCCTCCGTTTCCCATTGCGCCCCTGAAAACGCGTAAATTCTGCACTGGGTAAGAAATCCCCCGTGTGCGTGCATGTCCCGTAATTATTCTAGGTTCCGCTCGTGCACCTGCCGTTCCGTCTCGTTCGCAACGCGATACCAAGCAATATTCCCAACTATTTCGACCGCGTATTCCTTTCTTTTGACAAATCGATCCGCTCTCGTTACACACGAATTCTTTTCGGTACGAGCGATAAAAAAAATCTCACTCGACAGTAATAAAAAAATTTCACGTTTGGTAATTTAAATCTCTGCGAGTGATGAGATTCTTTCTAAATTACGACACAGGATCATCGTCGCTTTATTTCACAAATTTTTCAGTCAATTCGTATTTTTCTTTAATAAACAAAAATGTGTCAACGTATAATTTTAGTTTTATTTTAAAAAAACATTAATTAAAAATTGCTGGGGTCAGGAACATTTTGTACTGTATAATTTTAGTTTATTGGAAAACGCAGTCATTTTTAATTAATTTTGTATTAATAGCATATTTGACAGCTGAATTGTTTCGACACGATAAATATTTTTAAAATTTCGATCTTACGAAAATATAAAAATCTTCAAGAAAAATTCAAATTTTTTCATTATAAATGCAAGAAAAAAAGCAGAATAATAAAACATCCCTGTACAAGTCGTACATTGTTCGGGAATATTGCATTAATAGCATTTGACAGTTCCGTCAAATGCTATTAATATTAAAACATCCCCGTGCATTGTTCGGGGATGTTTTAATATTAATAGCATTTGACAGTTCAATTGTTTCGATACGATAAGTATTTAAAATGTCGATCTTTCGAAAAAATAAAAAATCTTCAAGAAAAATGTAAATTATTCATTATAAATGCAAGAAAAAAGCGGAGGACAATAAAACATCCCCTCACAAGCTATACATTGTTCGGGAATATCGGGTGGCATCGAGATTGCGTCGTCATGGCGATCAACAAGGAATGAACGCGATGATTGCTAGAACGTTGGAAGACAGAAATCTCTTTTATATTGTCACGACAGAGCATAGTACGTGTAGTGCAAAATTTTTTATCTTTTCTGTGCTCATCCCAGAAACACCGACACGAGAATTACGTAAAGCAGATCAATATAATACCAGTTACGAGAGCATTTGTAATATCCAATTACGTGAGCGGTCTTTTATATCTCTTCATTACGAAGAATGATTGCGAGCGGAACAAGATAAACATACATATGGTAATTACTTCCATATCTGTGATTTAATTCACTATTCATTTGTTTATTAAATGTGTTTTAATTCTTATCCGTTACAATGAAAAATATTATATAATGAAAAAAAGAGAAAGAAAGGTAAAAAATAATAAAAAACGATAAAAGAATGAAAATAAATTTAAATATAAACAACAAAAAAATATATATATACATATAATATTAGAATTTGTTTATATAAGTATAAAATATATATTATACCGTTAATATGGTTTCTAAAGTATATTATTATTAAAAGAGTTTTAAAAATTCTGCCAGCATTACTGTAATCTATACGTAATCTCTACCTTTTAATCTCTCTTTTCCTCTATCTCTTTTCATATATAACTAGTTGGTTCCAAAAATAAATGGATTATAAAAACAGCGAACAGAAATACATTTTGTAAAATTATATATAAACTTCCCATTTTGGGGAGGTGATAAGTACGAAAATGATCGAATATTTGCGCGAAAAATATAGGCGGAGAGCAAGGATCTCGAGGCAATGTCTTTCTTCGTGGACATTGTCACCGAGGATTCGTTTTACGAAAATCTGACCCTCGGTGTGGTCAAGATCCTCGAGAACTCCCCATGCGTGAGAAACGTGCGGATCGAGAGGCGAAATGGTTGCGAGCTCGGAGCTATCAACAACTGGGAGCAACGCCACTGCTGCACGCTTCCGGAGGACGTTCGGAATTTCTACGCTTCCATCGACGGTTTCCTGCTGCAATGGAATCTCGAGATAGCAGGTAACCTTGCTAACTATTCTAATTATGCGCTCTCGACTCTCAACGTATTCATATACGTATGCATTTATATTAATTAATCTTTCCCCTTTATCGTTCTCTATATTATCCTTCCTTTACAATTTACAAGATTCAAAACTGTACCATATAAATTTATATTTTACATACTGCATGAATTTGTATTTTTTTTTTTTATTATTGTCTTTTATATATTTATATTCTTTATTTTTTTGTTAAATTTTGTATTTAGAATAATTAATTTTTATTCTGTAAATTTATCATAAATTATTTTATTATATGCATAAATGTAGTATAATTTTGAAAACATTTTATAAGTTATTATATAACTTCACTTATTTAATACAACTATTATTTTGAGATACAACAGTATTTAAAAGAAAATTATCTGTTATTTTATTATATAATAACAATAACAATATTAAAAGAAAATTATCTGTTATTTTATTATATAATAACCGAGTTGTTAATGTTTTAATTTCCTCAAAAATGTTCGTGTAATTATCGAAAATTATTATAATATGCATTGCATAAAAGAGGATATATAAATCATGACGTAGATACCATAAAAAAATCAAATAGATAAAAATCGCTCATTCATTAATTGCTAAAACCATTATTCGTTGATCTCGAAAAACTTGCGTGCTACGAATTTTTTCCCCTAATATTTACTATCTGCGAACCTAGATCTATAAAAGAATCTTTCATGCGCAAGTAAACAAACCAGTTGAAATATATCATTCAACGAATAAATCATTCTCTCTCAGTTTTTCAAACAAGAGAGATAACAATCTAGACAACATTAGCCTGTTGAAAAAAACATCATATATGATATATTGTAAAAAAAAATTCCTGACGTTTCAAATGTCCTTTATATAATATATCTTCGGGATTTTTCGTTGCTTTTTTAACCAGAATTTTAAAAAATCGACGATGTATCGATATTAATCTGCGACATTTCCAGGCGAGGAATTCTCGATAGGTCGCATGGAGATAGGAACCTTGTCGTCGCTGAAGAGATACGTCGGCAAGGATCGGCAGGCAGGATCAGCCTCTGCACAGGACTCTTCGGGGAGTCAAGTGGGGAACGAGCCGCAGGAAGACGCGATGTTCTCGGGAGATTCGCGCGATTGCAAGCTCTTCGAGGTCGGCCAGTGCTTTCCAGGAGCCGAGAACGGCAGGATCTACTTGGCGTATCGCTCCAAGCAGGAACAGGACTCGCCGAGTATCTGGCTGCACAGCCGCGACGGCGGCTGGTACCATCTGGCCGACAACTTCACCACGTATTTTCGCATGATGCTGGCCCATCTGGGTCTGCCCTTGTGGCAGTGTTGCGCAGCCGGGCTGCCTTTGTTCACCTGGATGCAGCAAGCGTACTTTCTGGTCGGACCCCATCTGCTGCCGTCCACCGTCGAACCCACCGAGAGCGTATCCACTTCTTTGTGGAACAACGGACCCGTCAACGTCCTCGACCCGGCTATCTTCAAGGTCAAAGACGGCAAGCAGAGAAACGCGCGCAAGAAGTAATTTCGCAATGATGGTATACTTGAAGCTTTTGCGAAGGAAGCAAAAATTGATTTTTATTCCCTGTTAAATCAAGTTTCTTTTATAATAGAAGGTCAGTTTATGTAAACGGCCTGCTTCGTTCAATACTTTTTGTCCTGACTGAATAGATGAACATGTGCATTTATTATGCAGCATATAAGTATGTATTAAATAAATAATAATTATAATATATATCGTATATTTAGATATATTTATCTCTCTTTCTCTGTTTTTCTTTATATTTATTCATCTCTTTCAAAAGAATTCTTTTTAAAAGATATCAAGAGTCCATTCTTCTCATCGTTGCATAAGATATAACTATGTATAATGTAAAGTAAAAGTAAGATGAGAAGAAATATTTTCCAAGATATTTTATACTAAAAGATGCTATAGCCAAGTACGTAAAAAAACGCTACTAAATAATTTATTCGAAATTTTTCAACTTTTCTTATTTCAAAAACTAATATTGTAATAAGAGAACAGCATCATTCTTACAAAATATTGGAACAAATTTAAATGGCGATTAAATTGATTAAATTTAGTTAGTAATTGATTAGATTTAATGTAGTCAATTCTCCAAAATTCGTTATTCGTCAATATTTATTTTCCATCGCAATTTTAATCTCACATATGTACGCAAAAAAATTTTATTTATAAATATTGTAAGTGTTTTAAAATCAAATCTACACGGAGAGAATTTTTCTCTTATTTACCCTGAAAATTGTGGCAATCGTAGGACAATATAATATTGGAAGAATTTTGTAAGTTTCTCTGATTAATTTTTACCACGATAAAAAATATTATGATGTACATAATAAAATCAATCGAACATATTTTATATCTTATTGTGGTAAATATTAATCAGAGAAATTCATAAAATTCTTCGAATACCATATTATCCCACAATTACCATGATTTTCAGAATAAATTTGAAGAGAAAATTCTCTGTAGAATATTTTATGCGCATTATGTGTTACGCAATGAGATGTAAAATGCACCGCGAAGATAAATAATCCATTAGTTTCAAAGAAAAAACCAGTAATAATAATTAAAAAAACAGTAAACAAGAAATTAATTAAATTGTGCTTGATCCACGATTTTCATCGATGCCTCGCCAAGAAAAAGGGATTCTTTCGCTCCTTATTTTTTTTTTTTTTTTTGCTACTTCTTCATGGCACTTACTCACGAAGATGCGATTAATTAACGATCGCGCGCGCGTGCTAATCAACAGAGGACAGCGCACGGCACTTTACACGACACTTCTGACGTTAATCGCATGCGACACGTAATTATAATCTGCTCGGTGCTTGAAATTATTCCTCATGACGACGCAGCACATCTGTTACTAATAAATACACTCGCGTTTTAGGAGGTTCGCTACATTATGTATCACAACATAAATCTGCGAGTTAAAATTCAAGCTAAATATTCGAGAAATTTAATATTCGATAATATGTTGTCGCGTTTGCTGTCAACAAATATTTATACAATATTATACTTATACCCGCGCGATAAATTATTCGATCGAATAAATCGCATAAAATACACGTTATATTAAAAAATAAACTGGTATACAAACGTCGAATTCTTTTTATATTATTCTATGTATATTATAAATATGTGGTTAAACACACGACTGTACTTTTTAATTGAAGCAATATTATATAATATTAATCTTATTAAAATTTCGTGCAAAATTTACATTTTGACACATTTATTAATACTCTGCTATTTAACATGTGACTTAATTGTTGACTGTAATAATGATTGCAAATGATGGTATCTCCTGATACTTATCGCGATCGTATTTCGCGAGAAATAAAGTGACGTAAGAGACTGAAATCAACACTAAACAGCTCGTATGAGTCTCATCGCGCGAATGACAATACGACCGAATGTAAACCTGTCCGCTTGAGTCGCGTCGTGAATGACAACAATATGATTGACATAACAATAACGCGCTACATGCAAGAGACAAGTTTCAAATTTTGCTACTTCGAAAAAGTCCACGTTCCATGTGTTGCGACACATTATCTCTCAAAATACATGCATTATTATAGTACTTACTAAGACGCGAGCATTAATTGTTATTAATTACAATATTAATAAATTAATTAAAAAATCATGTACAATAAATATATCACGACACGACGACTATTTATCAAAGTATATTTTAAGCGATTTCTTTGTTTTTAAAGTAAGAATAATTATTAGTTTAATTAGAAAGTGTACAGTTACATCTAATTATCGTATTTTGTTGATTAGTTCGCGCAGATTTGTAATTAATCGCGTCAAGAGTGACTGCTGTGAAGAGGAGTAGCAAAGAAGTAAAAGAAAAGAAATATGTCTGGAAAAGGCTGACAGCGGAGCAATCGTGAGGTGAACATAATTTTTAATTAAATCCGTGCGATCATGAGATGAGCACAATTTTTAATTAACGACAAATTAAAGCGTTTTAATGAGTCAAACTTCAAGAATCCACATACAAAAAAGACTACTGTTTTATGCATAAACATATATTTTTCTTATATATTTTAAATTAAATACTTTTGATCTCGTATCGTTTTTGTAATAAAATAATATCTGACAAAATGAATTTGAGATGTTAGACTCATGTACCGATAATTTTAAAAATATAATTGTTAATTAAACTTCTGAAATGTAATTAATAAAATTCTGATTATCATTTTCTCTTGTGTGAAATGCTTATTTTTTATCCTTACTTTATCAACTGCGTTAGTCGTTATAAATATATGACATTTTTACGCGGCAAAAGCGTGGTGATAATAGTGCAAAAAAAGCGCGAAAAATTCAACAAGATATATGGAGAAAGTATCTCCTCTTCGCGATCCACCCCTTGGCCCAGTTGGCATCGAGTCTACGCAAAAACGTCCAATTGGCAACGTAATTGGCGAACGCAGTCTGCGACAAGACGCAGTCATGCTGTCGCCGTCCTCGCAAATGTTCGCATCGGTCTTTGCTTCGTCGTTTGAACTTTTACCATCCTCTTATATATTATCATGCAATTGTACAAGTTGTTTAATGAATGCGAAGCTAGTTACCCTCGTTAGTAATTGGAGATGTAATTGCAAAGTTATTATAATTTTTTTAATTCTAATAATATTTTTGTACGACTCTCGCGTTATATCACTAACTAAATTCTCAATTTATTGTCTTCTTGTTAAAAAAAAAAATAATTAATATTTTCATTCCCTAAATATCATCCTACGAAAAAATAACGTCAAAAATTCGAAGATTGTAACAAATCAGATTTAGTGAAGATTGTAAATTTAATTTTGCAGTGTTATTTCTTTTAAATGAATTTTGCTAAAGACATGTTTATCTAGATTCACTTTAAAACTTTCTTATCGCATTTATTGGTTTTTCTAACTAACAGTGTCATGATGTTTACGTTTATTGCATGTTGTAAGTATTATAGGAAAATATATTGATTCAGTATCAATGAGTTTTTTTAAGCGAGCCTTTAAATTTGTATACCTATATAATATATCAATTTCAAAGAGCAGATCTATTGCTTACAAAGATAATCTTTGAGAACGATTTTAGCAACATATTTCTGCGCACTGACTATATATATTGTACGCATATATCCACTTGACACGTGTCCATATTTCTTGAGACAGGTGTCGATTTTTGATATCATACATTTTTCTTCGAAATATTATTCGGAGCGTAAAACGATATAAATTCCGATTTCTATTTTAAATTACGTTAAAATCCGTAGGGGAAATAGATTGGATTTATTTAATATAAAAGGATCAAGCGCCAATTGCTGTGTCGCCAAGCGACACGAGAAATCTCTTTAAATCTATTAATATATTAAAATTAAATTAGACTTACCGCCATCGTCTTCCGCTTCTCGCGTTTTTTGAGCAGAAGATTTCTCACGAGCATCGCCCGTAGCTGGGAAAAGTAGACCGCGCACGAATTCATCCTGCGAGCTGCATTCGCCCTCTCGTCTTCTGTAACAGAAACATCAGCAAACTAAATGGCCAGAGAATTTCAATATTTGACGAACAACGAAAATAGAAGCTCAAGTTTTGCGCTAATACAGCAATTTAATTCAAGTCCAATTTCAATTCTATTATTAGACATACAATGTCTGATAAAGATGTTACAGTTTTTATCGATATTTCAAAAAAATGTATAAAAAAATAGGTAAAAATTATTTAAATATATTCGTAATTAATGTTGAAATTGCACTTTTCAAGAGAAAAATGTAATATCAGGCGCTTTTGATTATGAAAAAATTTTTAATCGAGCAGATGTGCGTCTGATGGCAGAACATTTTTATATGTTATAATTATATATGCAAAATATATGTCAGATATAAATATGAATTAAAATATTATAATTTAATATTTATAATTTTTTTTTTTTTGCGGCATTATAACAAAATTTGAGCTGATAATAAATTTCATTTTATAAAGAGAAATGCACAGATAAAAAATCTATATCATATATAAAATATATAATAATAATAATATATGTACAATAATCTTGGTCTCTAGCTCTAGATGCTTTCTATAAACTTTAATTAATAAAAAAATCTCTTGCTGCAAAAATTAACAAGCTGGATATTGGCTACACCTGTAGCAAACGAATTAAAATACATTTATTATTTTCAACTGTCGTTCGCGCGTGTGCGAATGAAAAACTGCTACAAAGATGAATGGCAGTTTGAAAGTAAAAAAAAGCAGAGTAATATATGTAACCTGTTATTTGTGACGGAACGTAACTTGTCACTTAATTAATTGTTTCCACATGGAGAAAAGCAAGATATCTCCTTTCCTTCCCGCTCGAACGCGCGGAAAATGGCGAGAAGGACAAACTGTGCTCGGATGTAGGCATGTTGCTGAAGCACAGCCGCGTTCTTCTCGATTAATTAGCTTAATTTGTTTGCACAACTACGCGATGCGTACTCTTCTCCTCCCTTCCTCTGCCCCTTTGGGCTCCTTTCCACCTACTCGCGTCGTTCACCATTCAGTCCTTTCCGCTCGGTTCGTTCCACAGTAAACTCGCGTGGGAACAATATAATTGTGTGATATATCTCGCTCGTCATTGAAGTTAATGTGTTCGCGATTGTGCGGTGAATTTTGGAGAATTAATCAAATTATTTAGAGTATATTAATTATTCTCTATATAACATATTTATCCGCACAAGTGCGATATAGTGTGCGATATTTAAAGTACACCCTCCCTTCTATATATAGATTCGAAGGGATGCTTGAGAGAGATTTTGGAAATTATTTTCTACAATATATATAAAATGCAATATAATACTGCAATGCTTTCTAAATTTATGTATATAAAGGGTGTAACAACAATATATTGATATTTTTATTTATTTTTAGTTCTTCAATTTTCATAAATTATTTTTAAATTTTTCTATCGCATACATATTTGCGCGGTTCATCAAGCGTCAATCACGACTTATGAAATTTAATTTTCTTTACAATTTTCTGTGTATTGAAGACTTAATATTTTTAATCATTCTTCTCCCTTCGAACAATTTAAAAATTGATTTCCTTTTTTTATTACTCTCATCCTGAATAAAATCGGCGAATGCGCACCGGCAAAAGGGATGCGTATCTTCCTCTTGAAGATGTAAAAATCTCTGAAGTCACCAGATGATAATTAAAAATGGTAGTAATTTAATCAACCAACTCTGGCTATTTAATAATCTTTATTTAATATTCACGACGTTTCGGCCATGGGTTTCGGCCCTTATCAAGTGCTGAAACACAACTTTCTTCCTCTTGAAATTTTCCTGCGAATACGCTTCAATTGCAAAATCTCCAAACTCGTAAGGGGAAAAAATGATCGATGCGAGTGTTTACTCACATTAATTCTGAAGTGCGCCGCGCCCGCGTTCGAGGAGATGACTCTAGTCGATCGTACCCTCGGTACCTTGATTGCTGGCGGTGGTCCCGGTGGCGGTGCCGTTTCCGGTGCTGTCGTCGTTGCTACGTTGCTGGACGCTGCCGCCGTTACCGACGCCGATCGATTCGCACTGCTGGGACGTTGCCTTACCACGTGACACGACGGCGGCATCGCAGCGACGGACGACGACGACGGTGTGCACGGAACCGCGTCCGCATCCACTATCGCTGCTCCTCGCCATTCTTGACGCTACTAATCGGCTGCGCAAAGAACAAAGAACGAAACTTTTACTTCCTCTATCCACGGCGATTCCGGTTCTGCTTGACGTCATTTTATTTCTTTTTTTTTCTATTTTTTTTTTGTACGTGACGTAACTCTACATGGACAGCGTTTTGAAGGCTAAAATGTAGAAGGAATCATTAGATCTTGCAATAATTTTCTTTTTTTTATATTTTTAATATATTTATAATTATATCTTTTTTTGTTATATTTTAAAAGAATTTGTCAAATAGAATTTAATTTATAATTTTTTGTTATTATTTATTATATATATTTGTTTAAATTTTAATACTACTTTCGCATTAAGAATTCAGCGTTTAGGTCCCATGACTTTGTCAATATTTAATTTAGAAATGATGATCTATAAGATAAGAAATATATTTTTGATCACTATAATTAAAAAATAAAATTAACTAGACTGTAACATACTGTGTCAAGTTTTAGTTTACAAAACTTGGCAAAAATAAAATGTGAATTTTAATAAAACACATCTAGGATTTAGTACGTAAACTTATAGAGATTTTCCAGTTGCTACGAAAAAGCGGCTTTACGCGATAAAACCACTCTTGAAACGACTTCTTTGATACTACTCGAAAATACTAAAAGTACTGAAAATCTTGTAAAATATTTAATACCGGAAAATTCACGGTAAAAGCATTCTCGGTTAACTGCACCGAGCAATATGTTGAAAAAGCAAATAATAGAGATCGAAGATTTGGCGAATTTCGCCGCTGATTGTTCGCCGTATATACTCTGAGCACACACCAGCTACCCAGTTTCGCAAACAATGGACCAATCTAAGATTTAACAGATGTAAATTACATATATATGTGAAAAAGGGTCAAAGAGCAAAAATAGGAAAGAGAGAGAGAAAGAGAGAGAGAGACTTACTTTCGATTATAACCAGGTCAACTTTCCTCCGGTCAATGAACGTGATTTAGGAACGTGCCTAGACGAGAACCAAGGGAATAAACCTTTCGCAGTCTGATTCTCCCGGTTAATTTTCCCACGTTGTCCCATTCGATCACGTCCGCAAAAAAGTTATCGCCCAAGTGCACCGTTTCACCTGCGAAGCAAGAAAAAGTGCTCAAGTTTTTAAAATAATTGGATATCATGTAAAAAGTTGAAACACACTAAAAAATGTGGCGCGCACAAATAAAAGATATATATATAAAATCAATTTCATCTTCATTTCGTTAGCTTGTTTGAGTATAAAGTTTATTATCAATCTAGGATTTACATCATTAGAGAGAGGGATAGTAAAGAAGAAAAAAATTGTATTTATTAGGTACATAAAATGAATTGGTTGCGCATGTTGCCGTTCTAAATATGGGAGATCGATAGCATAATAAAGTGATACCGTTAGTGTTCCTATTCAGAAATTTATATTAAACAATATTTTTATTCGTCATTGTATTAATTCAAAAAATATTTGCAATATAATTTTTTTTTATTTATAAATTTTGCTTCTCTCGTGTATACACATTTTACACATACATATTATATCAAAATTACCTTATTACTCATTTTTTTGTTTCAGGCACTATTTTATAATTAGTATGTTATCTTTTATTATAGTCTCACTGCTAAACTATTTTTATGTAGATATAATAGACTCTCCTTTTTTTTAATTGGATAATACTTTCCTCTACAAATATCTAATTTTAGAAATAAAAATATATCTTTTATAGAAATGTACGTCTGAGAGAGATTCGAGATAAAATATTTGAACATTTATTTAAACAGTGTCTAAAATTAATCGTCTTCTTCGTATGTTTTATATAGCAAGACCACGTTGCTAATGCAATTTCAACGTCTTATTGAATCTCTTATGATATTTTAATGATGATTTTAATTAATTATATTACATAATTACGTACAATTACGTTATTACGTACAAATCTTTAATTTCTAGCGCACACCGTACAGTTATAAATAGGGAGGATCAATAACATGATGAAGCGATTCCACGTGTGTTCGTGTCACAAAGTGATGTCCTTGATCATTGATGTATTTTCATAAGAAAAGTTCGTTCAAATTTGATATTCAAATTTGATGATGACTATGATTATATTAAATACATATCGATAAGATGATCTACTTATGATTTTATTCGTCATTTTTTTTATTTATTTGTCACATTTCATCATTCAAATTTGTAACATATATTTATTACATTTTTGTATTTCAAATTTTGTATGCCATCAATTGTACACAAACTCAATTCTTATAAATCTTATACTGCGAGCATTCAAAATATTTACTTTTCTCGGACAAAGAAATTAAAACTTGCAAAATTGAGCGCCTCATATAATATATAATTTTCTATATTTCTATTACGAAATTTGACAAAGTTTAACATTAATAAAATATGAATAAAAATAGGAATAAAATGTTTTGATGAAACACGCACTTTTGCATAAGTTTTACATGTCTCCTCTCTTCCCCCTTTTATTACTACGTATTAAATAATAAATCCAAAGTGCAAGGGAAACGTAGGGCGCAAACAGACAAGCGGGGTCGTCACCCTACAATACGAGGGTCATCAAAGTAAGGAACACAGGCTACCAGACGGAATGTCGCCACCGCGATTGCGAGCGTAAAAGAGGGTGTATATATGCGTACGAAAAGAGTCCTGTGTGAAGGTTTCGATCGCGTTTACTTTCCTCTGAAAGTGGAAACTTGAAAGCAAACATCTCCACGCGCACGTGAAAAGCATTTAGTTATTTATCAAAGTTAATTAATCCTAGTAAACTTATTAGAGAGAGAGAGAGAGAGGAGCTCTCCATAATTTATTTTTCTCTTGAGGTAAGAAAGAGGAATTACGTTAAATTTAATTAAGTTTAAACGTGCATACATTTTTAATTATACGAATACTTATGTTAACGATATATATACTTGATCATGATTATCCTGTTTTTATGACCTCGGATTATGTATAACGCGCTGGGTTCGAATACTTTCGCTAATACTTTTGTTAATCTTGTTTTCTTAAATACTTATAACGCCATGTAACGTGATATGAGAGAATGCATTTGCATAATTTTCAGGATTAACTCTTACTCCCTGTATATTCCAAACGTCTAAACAAAATATCTTGTGCATTTACCCTTTCCTCCCTTGGAATCGGTACAAAAATTAAGCATGTGAATTTATTTGCAATTTTATTTAATATAAAAATATTAAAATAAAATAATAAAAAATTGAATTTAAAAAATTAAGAAAGAATTAATAATAAGAAATAAAAAGATGTTAATCATCCCCTCCCTAGAAAAAATGATTTTATTGGAAATTTTTGTCAACCTCTTTTAAATAATACCTAGTATATGGGACACTATATATAAAAAAATAATAAATACAAGCATTTTCCATTGTGATCGTGTCGCTTCTATAATACATAATTCTCGAAACGAGTATAAATTTCGCTCCATAAAGCAATGAGGGAGAACAAGCAATGACAAACAGAACGATTGAGGTGAGTTCTACGATTTCAATTACAATCGATTGCAATCTCTCTCCTCTCTCTCTCTCTCTCCTACTTTCTCTCTGTCGACGACAGATCTACTTAACCGCTTTGATCTCACGCTTTAATCCTTCCTGTGAATGTTCGCCCCCGCATCATCGAGAGAATCTCCTTCTACTTCGGGACCATTCTACATCTACCTGTGCCCTTCTACCGCCATCTTTTGACATCAAATGCCTCGGCATTTAATGCATACCGCCGCGTCTGGAGAGCACTACTATGTCGATTCGATCGTGTAGACAACGAACTCTCGTCCTTGACAGATCAAAAGAATATCAACGAAGATAATGACGATGGTCCCCGCCGCCGAGCCACGCGACCTCGAAGAACGGATCGTTTAATCACACCCTTGAGTCTCTCAATTTCCCTCATGTCTATATTCAATGAGCCGTCTGATATCTGTACAACAGTTTCGGGATCGCGCGACTTTATTCACAAAAAAGATTCTTTCAACTGACGTCTTTACATTGTTCAATATTTGCATATTAGAGACTTTTCGACTTCGAAACATTTTCATTTTCATGCAATATAATTTTTTTTTTTTTCATCTATAATCCAAATTATTATTAATTTAAATTATAATAACTGGAGAGACTTTGTAAAAAAACTTCATAAATATATTGTATTTTTTTTCTTTGTTAGATTTTTTCTTAATAAATATTTATAAAAAATATAGTGTACCGAAATATGTCGTATCATATGACATTCTATGAAACAAGTTAACGAGCTAAAATCAACTTTTTTATTCAATTCTTGTAATTAATTAATTTATCTAATTTATCAAAATGCGTGTGATGACTTGAAGTTTTTAAACGATAGCGGTCATGTTTTTTCACGTAACATATATTACAAGTAGTGAACAAAACAAACATGCAATTTTAATCTAATTGTAAGTAGCATGGCAGCAAAAAATGCGTTTATTATTTCTTTATCTTTTTCATTTTTTTAAATTAAAGAAAAAACGCATTCTAATAAATATAATAAATCTATTCTAAATTTGATTTAAATTTAATATTATTATGCAATATGACAGTAATTCGAAATTATCCAATTTGGAGGACAGAAAATAAATATAATTTCTTAATTAATTAATTAATCGATATAAGAGCACTTGTGCTCATTTTAATCATAATTCAATGAAGCGAAAGCGAAAGTAATATAAGATAAGTGGAAAGTTCCCCGATATTAAGATTTCATGAATGTAAAGATGTCTTTATTGCTCT